CGTCCTCGTGATGCAACTATTAAGTTGCATTATAATATTATAATTGCTTTATATACAACAATACATTAATATGGTCTTTATTTTTTATTGACTTTATGTCCATTTTCGTAATACATTCTATTTTCAGATAAAAGTTTATTAAGATCCGTTCAGCCATTTTGTGTTGTAAATATAAAAACGGACGCATTTACGTTAATATGGCTACTAATAATTAATTAATTAACTAGGTAAGAAACAAACAAAAAAATGTATAGATACTCAGTATAGCTACACCTATATTATCTATGCGATCGGGACATACTCATAGCATAAGTACGTATTGATTAACCGGAACAAAAAGTAGCATCCTTTGTCCATTTTCATCTTAAATTCTATGTGTGAGTATATAAAGTGTCATGAGGGTTAATGGAGGTTATTGAACACAGAAAATACCTTTTTCTTTTATGTGTACGAATCTAGAATATTACATACATACTAATATTGTATGGATAGTAATTCACGCTGTTTTATTCGTCATTGTCAAAAGTACTGAAGCGTTTAAAATGCTATTTCACTTATCGATACTCACACACTAGCTTTTCTGTTATACCGAAGAGCTAAATTTAAAAATTGTTCCCAAAGGTCATGTAAAGAGTTTAAATTACATATTTCAAATTCATAATAAGTATTTTTTTTATTTCATCGAATGGCAAATACTAGTGAGACAATGAAGTATTATTCCATACTTTTTATTAAATATTATAAAGATATTCAATAAGAAGTATTAGACTTATTAAAGATTCTCCGATTACCACATTAGTTTATGATTTCAAACGACAGTATATATATACTTTATAGAGCTAACAATTTAAATTATCCAAAAGAAATAGTATCTACATTGGTAGAGTGTAAAGGATTGTTAATATGGGGACTAGTGTCCCGATTTTGAACAATGTACCTTCACACACTCTTGTCTGAAACCATCCTGGCTAGCTCTGATTAATACTAATTACTAGTCAATTTACTAACTAACTGATTTGACTTCATCCTATTATTCTCCACTAGTGAAATCAGCTGGTCCAGGCGAAAGCAACGTTCCATTGTCATTTATTAAAAAAAGGATTTATAGCTTTAACTAACTCCAAGGGCTGCTTCTCGTCCACATATACCTTAAGGATCAAAATTCAACTTCACGTCTTGCGACTACTCTGAACCAGTAGTGACCCATTAGATCGTGACTCTCTCATTTGAATATAGTTCAAAATAGCAAATCCCGCTATTCGTTATGGGTAAGCCGGTGGAAAGTTCTAGCAATTTTGAATTAAAGGACAGATAGATTAAACGATAATTAGTAGTAGGTAGTTGCTACGCAGGTGTCATTTATAGCTAAAGTTGTATGACCGCAGTGAAATCTGCCGGCGCTGCGTCCGACGATCATGGGCTGATCTTATTTATGTACAAATTTACATTACATGTATACCATATTGCAATTTATTTATGCATTATATACAACCGAATATACTGATCAAGTCGCATGCTAACTTCCACGACAAGTAACTCCGGCAATCGTGGTAGAATTCTAAAGCAACCTAATATTTCTATTTATGGGTTCTTGAGGTGTATCGTAGCATTTTTAGTGGGTAGAAATTCCACTATTTTTTATCCATATATGGTATATTCTCTATTCGAATTTTGGTGAAGATGTTTCAAACATTAAGGAAAGGCCACAAGGTGAGTTTGTAGTTTAATTTTAAAATATATCACACTGCACCACCGCTGAGAAAAAGCGGTTCGACGGAGCCTTGCTCAAAGGACATTACAGATATATTTATATAATACATATTGCATAATATACATAGTTACCTATGCATTACTAAAAGTAAACAATAATACTACTATGTCGAAATAAAACCGCTGTAGTATAATTAAACACAAAAGTTTATTTTATTAGTATTATGATTTTACAACTTTTTCGACTCAATAAAATATCAAATGTAACGGGAAAGGGTTAAGAGTGCTACCCCGTTACTAAACTAACATCACCCGCCAGTGAGTGGGAGTCAATAAAACGAAGATTATTTTCGTGTATTCCATTTAATGAAATACATAAATTCGGGTTGGCACAACTACACAGTATCAACAGTGTTAATATAGGGAAGAAATATTTCTCAGTCATAGAAAAACTACGAATTTGGTTCTACACAGAGCAACAAAACAATAAAACACAGACGAGGGCACTTAACAAATAAGATTATATGATTATATTACATAAATGATCTTATATGGGTATACCCTTATCTTTGATGAGAGCTAACATTTCGGTGCAACTTAATCTGTACTCACCTTGGTGCAATAAAAAATCTATCTTTGTTGTTAACCCAAATAATTTGTCAACAGATTTGTAGTTTTGTAGTACCCAAAATAACAAATCTATATGTTCAAATATAAACAACACTGAACAGAATTTGCATATGTATGTATTCTTGTAAAACTCAAATTAACAATCTAATGAAACAAGTTGAACTAACCGCTATCATGATTAACTATATTAATAATGTGTACTAAACGCGACAGTTTAATCATAAAATGTACGCAATAAAAAATGGTGAAAGTAGAGTTGCGTAGTCGAAGGTATTGACATAATTTGATTGGAAAAAAGTTACAACTGAATGAATCAAAATCGAGAACAAAAGGGTAAACTTTCGGCCGGAACTGTACGTATACTTGTCATTTCGTAATTGAACACCGTACCGTACTTACGTACCGATGACTATCTGTTACAGATATATTTTTATGTAATGACAAACAAGGTGGCCGTCCACATGTTGGAAAGTGATAACCATCACCTATAAACAGCATTACGAACATTTTATATTAATGTTTGTGGCACTACTTATGTGTTGCCCATAGTAGCTGCAATTAGCTATAAATAATATTTAATATAAACATACAATACTGGTGAAATTATATTACGTACCTCAACGTTGTACCAAGAGTAGTAATGTAATTATACGAGTATAGTTACACTCATGAACCTACTTTCCTAATAATAAGATACCTATGTACGGGAATTTAATGAACTTGCCATGATTTAGTTATCTAGCTACGAGCTCATATGTTACAGTGTCTTGCACTCGCCTTGCCTGCGGCGAATGCACCGTGCTCACTCTGAATAAGAGTTCTGGATGCATTCGAAACAATTGTCGTAAAAGAAAAAAAACTCATAGTTTTTTTAAAATCTCATACATACTTGTAGTTACAAAAGGGACTAGTAAAACTGAACTGGAGTTTTAAACAATACAGTATTTTTTGTAATTAGAATTTTAAACAAGCTAACGGCCCACATGATGGTATGATGATGATGATGATGGTAATCGCCTGGTACAGATATGAAATCACATCATGTGATTCGTGCGTTGCGATCCCGAAGGACTCGTTATAACTTCATATACTGTAATTTCACTGCTTTATCTCAACTTTCAACGTTCAAAAATATTCTACAAAATCTACATACCTCGGTCAAATTATACAAACAAAGTCTGGGTACACCCATAGATATGTTACAAAATTGTGATTATCTGAACTTTATTACTTATATCTACATAATATCCACATATCTACATCTTATACTATAATGATATAAGAATATAATACAACAAAGTATCAAGTCGAAGCCTTACATTATTAAAGTGTAGATATTTTTTGTACAATACAATCACATAATTCTTTCGCAACTCTTTTTAGAACTTATGACAAATATTTATAAGACGAAAACTTATAATACTGATACTAGAAAAATCAATTTACGAGGCTCGCCACTTACATATACCTATGTACATTGAAACTTTATAAACTATTTCATTCTTTATTACATGACAATTTACTTAGCGTATTTTTAAAATATGTGTTAAATATTCGATTGAAAATATAACAGACAAAGACTCTTCATTACTTTTAAGATAAAGAATATAATAAATTAAGAAAAAATATAATGTGCCACGTCAGATCGGCTTCCAAGTGGTCCCTAAAAACCATCCTAGTAAAGTTCTAGTGTATTTATTACAATGGTCTAACTGACTTAACCTCTTGCTCATTTTATCCTCCACTGGTGCCGCACTAAGGTATACTGTTTGCACAGGCAGCTCCCATTATCATCAATTAAAAATATATATAATAATTAAAAGTAAGTAGTGTAATTTATGAATTTATATTTAATAAAGTTGCGTAGTTATAATTTTTTATTGATCTGAGTGGACGGGGTCGTAAAGATCTTTATTAAATCAATAAAATAAAACAATCAGGCCGGCGGATTTACGTTTATAACATAATAAATATATTAGTACGCTATTAACCTAAATTATTTATAAAAATCAAGTACTACAAACATATTTATATATAATAGATATTTTCTGTGAAACAATTACTGTTCAAAGTTTACAAAGTATCCGATTTCTCAGTTACTTATTTTCTTTTTTTCTATGGATAATATTTTTATTTATATAATAAAACTTTAATAATAAAATAAATATTCGCTAGACGCTAGACAGAGTTATATATTTTTTCACATTTATGCGAACTTCAGATAAATTAGATAAGGACGAATTGTTTAATGTGTTCGTTATATTTCACTTAATATCTATAACATATATAAACAATTTATCTAATTATATTATATACACATTTAATTTATGTCCTCGACAATAGCAGCAGTCTTTAATTTTAAAAACAAGACATATAATTGATCTGCTTTGCAAAATTATAAATTCATTTAGTTTGTTTATAATAATAATTTATTTTATTAAAACCAAGAATAAATAAATTTAAAAATGTCAATAGAAATAATCTAGATTCACTAGAAATATGAAGGAAATTAATGGCTGTAATGAGTGTATGTACATTAATTACATTTTATTAAGTAGGTACAATGTGTCAGTTAGGTTGTACTATACTGTATAAAATCAAATAGTTATTAGATATAATTCAGTATTTAAAATACAATGAAATCATTCGGTTCATATCGACAATTTTGACGACTGACTCGATACTTACTTATATAAATGGCGACATATATAAATTTGATCTGTTTCTGGAAATAACCAACCATATGTTATTAATGAAATACCAATTATTGTCAATAGATGTTTTTATACTGAAATTAAATATAATAAAGTATAAACATATTATGATACACGAAAAGACAGTAGAGTTTAAAAATACATGAAATTATTTATGTTTTCTAGATAATTACGGCATTATTATATTGAAAAACGCGTAGTAAATATTTGTTATAACGTAAATTGATATAAGTAATATTGATGAAATTGAAAAAAAAAAAATTTTTATAATCCGGTATTCTATACAACTGGTTAATTTATGTGTCCTGTTGTATGCAAGCACCTTATTCTTAAGACAAATTGGAGTATCTATATGTAATAAGATTTTACATTCTTTTGTATAATAAATGTTTGATAATGTGATTATTTTATTCTAATTGTTATAATTTTATTTATTTATCTCCACAACAATATATTATGTATGTATATAGGTTTTGAATAGAACTTATATAAATTCTAATCAAATATACATAAAATAAAGTCAACATATAGTGCTTTACCTCGCAAGTAAATGTGTTTTTTTGTTTTGTTACAATGTGTTAAACTATATTAGAACACATTCATTAATTTTGTCTACCTATATTTTATATACTACAGTACTTGGAAATATTTATCTCAATGCAGTCGAGAGAAGGGTGATCACTGATAGCATTATGACTGTCGATATTGCTGTTCGCCTGAGTTGTGTACCAGCGTCTGGAAAAAAAAGAAAAAATAAATCTCCCCTTTGAATTCCTTACTACACTAATCTTACATGGGATAGTAAGAAGCCTTGTCAACTGTTAATATTATGATCTTTATTACATTGTAAGCTTTGACACCCCCTATTTAGTTTAGCATCTTTCATATTACTTTTATTAGATACTACGAATACGAATACTGTAATCACTAGAGAGTCAGTCGGAATTGAAATAAACACTCCAAATTTGGGATCAGTATATGTAATGTAACCAAATAATAAAACCACTGTCGGTGGTGTTGATAAGGCGAGGTAGTAAACTATATATACTCGTATATACTAGGCCGAGATGCTTTCATAAGTTTGTATAGCTAGTGTACCTCGACTACGCCAGGGTGAGTATATCTTTGAATGTTTGTGTATATTGACACTAACTCTTTTCCAGAATAATATCTTTTTTTCGAGATATAAGATAACATGATTACAGTCAAGCTGACAGGGAGACTAATTTATAATATTAGTAATTTATAATTTCCAATTAACATAATATATGACATTTGTCACTAAAATAATGAAATAGTAACTCAAATAACGACTTGAGATATAATTTTATTGCACTGGCTGTAGTTTCTGAATTTACTTACCACATAACAAAATCTTAAAACAAAATCCATTTTTAGTTATACTACTTCAAAATCAATCAATTCAGTATCACATCATTTAACTATCTCTATAGATATACTGCGACTTTGCCTTCATCAACTCTCTCTTGTTCCTATGATAATTTTGTGAATTCCTTTCGAATAGAATGCTACATTAAGTAACCTATTTACAAAATTTGTAGATTCTAACCCCAGCTGTTTAGCCTGATAGATCGGTCAGTCAGTCAGGATAAATCTCTTTATATATAGATGTACATAAATACACGACTCCGTTTATTTAATGAAACAAGTTTGCAAATGCCTATAATTTTGAAACTTCTGTAATATACAATAAGTGATTCATAGCATGGATTTCATTAATACCTTCAGAAGATAAGTGGAATAATATATTGTTAGACCTTTATCCACACAAGACAAATTCATTACAAACCTTCCAGTCGGAGTAATTTATTAAAACTAACTGGACAATTAATTTGTAATGGGTCAGATTATAAAACGAGTTGTGTTAATAAAAGTGATATGGCAATTTAAACAATACTATTGCGTTTTATAATATGTAATTTTTATGCTAAATTCTGTCATATTGGAAAATAAAATGATCATAAAAATCAACATTACGTATATTATATATAATGATTATCAATAATAGGACGTCTTATGGGCATTTTTACATATAATAAAACTATAAAATTGTGACGAGGTGAAAACTATATTTTTATCTGTTTGTGTACTTTAATATAAAAGCAGTTAATTGAAGTAGGATATTTTGTTAAACATGGCACAGGCTAAGGAAAGCTGAAAATAATACTCCCCAGAGACGTGAAAAAATGTAGATGTATATAATTTTTAATACGCCATTTACTATCTTGTGAACTCATAAAATTAAAATGGCGTCATATGCTTGTTTGATGCTTTATCTATTGTTGTCATTTAATTATAATCAATAGATGGAGTCAAGTGAATTGTAATAGAATGAGCATATTGTAGCATTGTTTTACTTTTTAAACTTATTGTTAAATTATGCAACTAACATTAGAAGTGGCGACTTGGGATTACTCTTAGATACCCAAATAAAATATATCAACGTCACATAATACAACTTTTGTAAAGGTAAATGGTCATACATTTAACAGCCATTAGGCTTGCGTCTCATTATATTCACGTACACAATGCCAGGAAATTAGCCTAATTGCCACTAAGCTCTTTGTAGAAAGGGTGTTTACACGTATCTACTTATATTAGGTGATGGTCTTTTTGACTAAAATTTGTGGCCATACTAATATTATAAAGTCAAAAATATATCTGACTTTCTGTTTTCAGAAATAAACAGTAAAGTCGTATCCGTCAGGCGGGAGTTAGACTGCAACCGCCCTATAAGTCTTTCTGCAGGTTTGGAATACCATCTGCACTCGCCTTCTATCGTCCCGTGTAGCTGAAGGTTAATTGTTTAATTGTTAGAATATAATATATTCTAAATACAAATTAAAATATTTAATGTCATTTACCATTATTTTTATCAGATATTTTGCATGTTCAGTGCAACCTAGCCATATACACGTAAAACCTTCTCTATTTATGCGCCTCACTTACTTAATCTTATTTCGTACTTATCATTCATTTTCATACTACTGTTACTTAAATGCTTTGAATAGAAAATAATATTTTTTTTCTATATTACTTTTCAGTTTTCCATTTTTAAATGTTGAATAAATATAAAGCTTTAGAACTAGCTATTTACTTTGCACAGATTTGTTGTTCGCGATTCAGATTTCTGGTTATGTTTTTAATATTAAAAGTACCTACCTACTTGTTAATTGCAAATATATTCAAAGGGTTTAATTAACTTATGTACTCAATACAGATATTCCAGAATATTATAGTACTTTTATAAAAGAAGCCACGCACACAAGCATGATTGCCGACAGAGGTCGATGCACCATGGCACGTTCGTAAATTGGCAAACACTTTGCCATGAAGCCTGAATTAATTAAAAAGTTTTCTTCAAAATGTATCTACCGCGTAATATAAAATATCGAGACATATAAAAGAAGTCAACTATAATTAACATTATTTGTGAAAAATTTTAAAGTATGCACTACTTTAATATATTTATGATACATGAAAAACATAGGCATATGTATGGATGTACACAAAATGTTTAAAATAACCGAGTTAAAAAAATATGTATTTTTATGCTACTAAATGCTATATTTGTTTTAATTGTTCTCTAAATCCCTTCAGTAGATTTTGCGTGAAAAAGTAACAAACATCCATCCATATTCTATAGTCTAGAATATATTTATTGTCTTTGTAATATATATTTTATAAGTACAAGTATATATGAAACCGATAGATAGGATACAATGAAAAATAAACTTACTGGTCTCTGGTTGTCGATATATAGAATAAACGACCGCGTCGTGGTCCTTCAGCTTACTGGATGCCGTAGTGGGTATTCTAACTTCTATAGAACTCTTTTCATGTGTCTTAATATATATTGAGTATATAATAGCTGTACACCGAATCTGTAACAAATAATTTTATTTAGTAAAGGTTCCCTACGGTTTTTTATTAAGTATATTTATTTGTTATACGTATGTATATTGATATGATTAATTTGTGTGATATTTAGATTTAGATTCTATATAATTAAATATAACATATATATATATAAATATCGTTATATGAACAATAAATAAAAATATTAATAAAAATTTCATAAAAATATTATTTTAACAATGTCATAAAAATAGAGACTTTATTAAAAGTGTAAAACCAAAAACAATTATTGTTAGAATTTTAGTCTGCTTGTCTGAGCTCTGACCTATGAAACGATTTGTGGTAATCTTCACTTGCAATTTTGTCTTTGTTTTATGCCAATCGGTTTGTAGACAAAAACGTTCACATTATTTCATTTTAAAAATTCACAAAAATAATAAACCTTTCTACAACTAAACAATACTATTTATCAATTCATAAAACTCAATCATGCAATAATATTATTCGAAATTGAAGTACTCAATCAAACACTGTATCAATACTGCATTACATATTACAGACTCAATTACTGCAAAGAAATCGCAGTGGCGTGTTTGGTGCATCGTACTTTGATCTGGGCTCACATTAACAGGTTCAGTCTGGAAAGCCGATTCCGATATACGACGTCGTTCAATTGGCGCGTTGGGTCCTACTCCCCGCCCACGTTGGAAATGCGCCAATCGAACGGTGTCGTCGTTACAGACCGTCCGATTCTTATTTAGAAATATAAGGAGAACCATGGCGGTCTGAATACCTAGACTAGTGGCAAATTAATGAGAAAAAGATCAAGGTGCAGATCATTCCTCTCCCGTTATCACCGGTGCATGCATTCAGTGCTTATCGATTATTTGATATCGATTAGTTTGCTACTAATAATAGACCCCCAGAGTATCCTATTATTAAATGACAGTTCCCGAAAAATCGGAATAGTAATTTCGGAATGGGTCCTCTGCTATAGCACAAATAAAGATCACTGAAAACAACCTGAATAAGACTAGACAATGTTGTCTGTAGGCAGGACACGTGATACTGAAATAGTTTTCTAGTTATTTGCCAGTATTTAGACAGTCACTGCATCCAGCTAACATAATCTAAATTATTGCTGCTGCCATTTCTATATACGTATACTTTTTTTTTCTACGAAGTATAATGAAGAACAAAAACAGCTAACGCTTGAAAAAACCTGAAAGTGTTTGATTGAGAACTTTTAGGGTCAGATTGATGAAACCTGACTAATATTATAAAAGCGAAAGTGTATTTGTCTGTTACATTAACGTCACATTTGCACGACTAAACAGTTGACAGGATGTTAATTCAATTTGAAGTGAAGATATATTGTGTCACAAGGGGCATAGACATATTTTATATCAGACACGTAAATCGAGTACCAGGGCATAAAAAATGATAAAAATTTATATGAATATATCTACTTATATCATGGTTGAATTTATATATAATACAATAACATAACAAGCTTAAGGCTTTAGGGTTTAAAGTTAAACAAAAAAAATACTTACTCTTAGTCTTCCTTCAATAAAATGGTGATTTTGGACTACAAATTGAATAGTGCTGTAAGCTGTCATCAGCCCGTCCGGTGTCTGTCCGTCCACTCTATGCATTACGTGCTGTTTGTGGGCCTGTCAAAAAAAACGCATACATTAGCTATATAATTTAATACCTTATAACACTAGCTGACCCCGCAAACGTTGTTTTGCCATATAAGTTAAAAAATAGCGGTTGATGGTAGAAGCGTAAAAATTAGAGTTGTATGTATTTTAAAAATTGTCCAATAAAGTAAAAAAAATATTGGGGATGAACAACACTTGTTACTTAGGGGTATATGAAATAGATAGTAGCCGATTCTCAGACCTACTATAAAATTTCATAAAAATCTTCCAAGCCATTTCAGAGAAGTACGGTAACTAACATTGTGACACAAGAATTTTACATATAATACTATAAATATCAAAGAGTTTGGTATTTTTTACGACTGGTAATTTTTTTCCCTGGATATTTGGATTTTGCACTGCTCATTTGTGTCTCACTTACTTCTACCGCTAAGAAACTTGCAAATGTATTTCAATTGAAGGCTGATCCATATCATGTATGGCTATGCAGTAAAATTGCATGATATCTTGCATGTCCTCCAGAATAGCAACGAATGAGGGGCAGAAGGGAAGGTACATCTAGACTATACTAGTCCTAACATTCGTGGTGCTGTCATGGATATAAGCGAAGTTAATTTACCATCAGGTGGGTCGTCAGCTAAATCATTTCCGTTACATAAAAAACTGTATGATATAATGAACATTACATATATAATAGTAAGGAAAGTATTACAGTTCAATTAACCCGTCTTTTAATTTTCATTATATTCTTATTTCATTTATGGGGACTCTATATTACTTCAAAGGCTTTGTCCATGGCGTTTTTTGTTGAATTTCATGGAAACACTTCGATAATAACGTCTATTTTCTTCCTCCGTTTTTATATCTACAACTTTTTACATTATCTGAAACCTTTCATCATTTTCAAGAGGATTATTCTCCAGAAATAACGTCATCGACATAAATTTATCTACAGTTCAATTACTACTATTTTATTTACAGCTATACCCCAATAAAAACAATATATTTTTGGATATTTACGGAAGCAATATTAGTATGCTTAAATCTCTTCTGAAATTATATAATACATATGTGTATTTGGACTCATTTTGAAGAGGTCAGCATATTAATAATATATATATTAATAATAATAACAAATACATTATAATATGATATTGTCAAACTTTAGGTTAGTTTATTGACTTATGAATATACATGCTAGTAAAGATGAGCCAACCGAGAAGAAAAGTAAAAGATGTTAGTTAATTCTTCGACATCTATTTGCATAAAAGAATTGACAGTGCTTAATTTCTCTGCATTACCATTGATACTATTTTTAATTTGGGTATTTTTTTCTTGTTAATTTCAATAAATAAGAGTGCTAAATAATTCTTCTTAGCTTCTATAAATATAATTGAAAGACAGTAAGAATAGTACAATTTTGTTATTTTTAACGTACTGTAGCTTAAGCTTAATAAGATATATGTAGTTCCATTTTCCTTCAAAACTTAATCTACTCAAAATTTTATCCTATACATTTTCCTTTTATTAAGTAAGGTAATTACAATTACTTTTTACATACCCTTATTCTTGTGATCAATAGCATCAAAATGATACCTACAGGAATAAGGAAAATATATATTTATTAATAAGTAAATTTATTCCAAAAATGGGAAAAGTGAGAATGCTACTGTGAAACAATTCATCCCTTATACCATAGATCAAGCTGATATTATAAATGCACAAGTAAATCTATCTGCGAGTTACCAGTTTACGCTAACACATTGTTTATTTTCTGTGCCCTGTTATTAATTATGCACAAAGTCGTATATATCAGTTACTATGTATTATAACAAAACATGACTAATAAGTACGGCCTCCGTGATCTAATGATTTATTATACCATTTTACTTCCGATCCGATCTGAAAAATCTATTTCGGTATTTACATCAGTCAGCTATGCATTTAAATTACAAGTACTTAGGTTGTATTACTACGTCGGACATAGGTTCAATTTTTATTATTATTTATAAAAAGATTGTTATTACTGTTAGTATCTACAAATAGCTGTTCACGCTGCTTAATCTGCAAATATTTTTGCTTAATTTGGAATATTTATTGAGGTAAAAGGTAACTTACTAATTGGTGTATAATACTTAATAATAATATATTTATGTACTAATATATCCGTAACAAAAATTGTAATATAACAAAATCCTAGCTGTAATTAGTATTGTTTTTGAGTATTTAATCTGGAGAAGGACATAGTAGGTAAGTTGTTGCGTACTATTTAATCTAGAGCAGGACATAAACAATTTTTGTCCTGCGCTATGATTGTCACATGGATGAAGTCATAGCTAAAATTATACAATTGTCTTCCTTTTACATTTCACGTTGCTACTATTTAATATTATAGTGATACTAGAATTTACCAGCGGCTTAGGTAATAAAAATATGTACATAAACTTAAATTATGAAGTACTAACAATAATTTTCCAAAGTTTGAAGCAACTCGAAGGACGCAATAGTTGCGTTACAAAAATAGGGCATACCTTCTTTCATCTTCTATTATAAGTAATGCGTTAGATAAAGTAACCTATAACCGTCTCTGGAGACCCATATATATCTGATGAATTTTGATGTACAGATGCATATATGGGATATCTGTGTACCAAAACTCATCATAATGATTCAGCTGTTTAGGCGCGAAAGAACAACAAAATACTCACCTAAGCATATTACTTATAATAATAGAATGTTCAAAGGTTTAGTACTTTATTGGTTTTTAAAAACTTCATAAATATATTACATAGTTATAAATACACGCACACATTTCAAAATATTCCTTTATATATATCAAAATAATCTTTACGTCGGCAGTCAGATGGAAATCTACTTATTGAGTTGTATACATCATCCATATATTACCTACATATCAATCTTTACGACGAAAGATATTCTTTTTTTATGTGACAGAAAGGTAAAAGAGATGACAAGCCACCTGATGGTAAGTGGCAACCTTCGTTTATATATACTAACACGACTACTAACTTTTAATTATCATATACCATGGTATCTTTCAATCGTGGTTATATCTGAGGATAATGTCAAGCTGCTTTGCGATAGCAATAAGTAATATAGAGTTATTTACTTAAATGATTTTATAATATTCACCCCATTATATACATAAGAAGTTTATTTAATAATAATAATAACCCAAGACCATCCCATACATCTAGTCTTAAGCTAAGCTTGCGTTATAAGTATTAAACAACTGACATAATTACACTTAGATGTTTCTTTTATAAATAGATACATACATAAAAACACAAATAGACCGATTATTTCTTTATTTTTAATGGGTTATTTGGGCTATGGTCAGGTGCTTGGACCTGTAGCACTGCGACCTTCATAGATCTATTGTGCTCGCTCTTTTTCGTTACCTAGACCCGTCAGGAACAAGAATTGAAGGATATTCTTAGGAGCGTTGGTTTTTATCTCTCCCCAGGAAAGAGTGTAAACTTTCCAAAGGAGATATTTCATTTATGCATGAGTAGACTACAACCACATAGAATGTGCCCAGTGCCCGAGTACCAGAGAGCCCTAGTGTTGCTTTTACTTAATACTAATAGTATATTATAGTATACTCAATAGTAGTTGTATTGGAATATTTGTTCGAGTAGCCGGATATTTAGTAATAGGGGTTTTCAATGTATCAATCCTAGCATTTCCTACCAGTGATTCAGTGCTTCTCATTTGTTATTAATTTGAGATGTCCCAATTTTGGACAACGAGGCACACACGAGCAGGTCACACAAGCGTTCAGACAACAGACTGAGAATCAGTCTGTTGTCAATCATAATCAGAAATACAAATGTTTGTATCCGATGACGATTGGAAGTAAAGCGGTGTGATTAACCGCTAGGCCACCGAGGCCACTTCATAGATACTTTATCTATCTATCTCTAAACGTAGCACCTTTATATCCACACGAACACTTTAATATATGGCCACTACACAACATGAGTAGTGGTGATATATCTGCGTCCTTTCGGGTGGGAGCATAAAAGTTATTTGCCCGTTTTATGACGGGCTACCAACGCTCATTGGTACCTACATGAGTTACGTAGTACGGACCGCTGTGTGAATATGTTTTCGCTGATTTGAACGGGAAACTTACAGCTACATTTGCATGCTATAAAAGCAAGATCTAAAATGATCAGTTTAGTAGAGCCGTGTTGCAATTCAAATCTTGGCACGATGATATATTTTTATAGATTTTTGTAATATACACATATAGTCTTATTTGTTACCTGCGACTTCATATATAGAATCTAAGCGAAAACAAAACTGACGCCTAGAGAATCAAGTTGCCATGCGGAACTATTAACTTAACCTATATATACATACTACAATTATCACCTCTATACACTTATTATGTGAATAGAAGTTTATATCGGCGTTAATATACTATCTAAATTAATTTTCTATCTAAATTTCTGTTCACATGAATTGTTGAAATATTGAAATCAAATTTCAGAATTCTTAGAAGTAACTCATTGCTATATTATTAAACAGACTATGTTTCCAATTGGGAAAACTGAAGACTGATGAATTTCAATTACAAGTCGTTGCACGATACTGTATATATGGTTCTTAGTATATGTAAATTCGGCCCATATCACATGTCAAGCGGTAGCCATTGACTATATACATATATGAATAGCAATACTAACATAACAATAGCATGTGACACCCATGATACTACTCGTGCTTTGCCATTCCAGAGGCCTATGCTGCTTTTTAGGCTTTAATTTTAAATTTTCTTCACCGTTATTATAATTTTAATAATAATAATCTAGTGACAATTCACATAGCACTATCTAGACCAAAGTTAAGCGAGCTTGGCTTGTGTTATGTATACTAGATAACAAATTTGAAAAATACATTATTCCAGGTTGACATATGTGGGTGTAATTATATAAGAAAAATCTTGTAAAGTTAGGAGCACCTACGCAAAGCCCTAACGAAGCAATAAGACAATGGTAGGACAAAGCGATTACAAGTCTATAAAGATTAAGTATCATGTCTCTTTCGATTTCTCATTTGGGAAGATTCTAATGAGGATTATGTGATAAAAAGTAATCTATTATACACATTATATAAGCAAGATATTTATTATGGCAATGTTATTAAAAAACACCCGATATTTCGACGCTTTAGCTATCAGGCCGTGACTAGGACGTTTGTAACCCGTCGAAATATCGGGAGCTCTTTATTAATATTATCAAAACTTTAAAACAGAAATCTAATGTCTTTAATAATACTTAGTCTATTAGGTTTTTTTTTTACGTACATTCTTAGTAATTCTTCAAAATACACTTTTAGATATCTTCATACTTTTATTTCATACACTTCAAAGTCATAACAAAGTAAAACTTTTAATATTATCTTACAAAACGTTTCAATAGTCTGGAGCGAGGTATATAATGTCTTTGCTGATTTTATTCCAGTTAATATAACACCTACGACAGGATTTAGGTAGCCTCATCTTATTTCGTGGCAAAAGAAAAATCTTCATGGAAAGTTTTTCTTTAGTTAGGTTTCAGTGATTTTCACTATTTTCCAATAATATTGAACACAATATTTCATATATATAGAATATAACTGGAAAATACCAATGAGAAATACACGTATTTTGTATGAAAATGGAATTGAATTGAATAGCTGATGACCCACCTAATAGTAAGTGGTAACTGCCGCCTGATGAAGGTGCCGTCCTTGTAGGCACCACTAACATCACGTTTATCGTAGGATGAACCTGATACCACTCATTCGTTGTTATTCCGGAGAACTGACAGCTGATTTAGAAAAAACTGAGATACTCACTCACACAATTATTCATAAAGTCTATTTTGGTATATTATTTGTAATACAAATAAAAAATACTAATTATTGACATTAGCAAACTTTGAAGCCTTAATTACAACAAATGTAATAAAATTAGTTTATTTTTTTTTATTTTAAGCAAAGTTTATGCTTATAATTTTTATGCATTTATTCGTCAATATCAAAAATCTTTAGTTATGCCGCAGCATAAACATTTTCAAAGCACTAAAGATTTTTGTTATATGAAATATTTTTAAAATCTGAAATTATACAAATTAAATACTAATAGAGAGTTCATATTAATTTGTATAGTTACATTTGTTGTAATTAAGATCACTATTCCAGCAACTCTAATTACTTTCCTTTCATTACAGGGCACACTAATGGGTGGAAGGTAAATTAAGGTCAGGTATGGGCTATCTATGTAAGGAACGCTAAAGATATGCGTCACATAGAAAGGAAAGCGATCCCAACAAGATTTAGTAGTAGGTATCCAAAGTATCTTATGTTTCATTTTAAACAAAGAGATTGTGTATCATTATTACGTAATATAAAATAATATTCTGCTGTCGCGGTCTGTCCCTTTGTATGTTTAAATTTTGAAAACTACGCAACGGATTTTTATGCGGTTTTTTTAAATAGATACAGTGATTCTAGAGGACCTTCCTCTTTATATATAAAATACATGTACAACCGTGCGAAGCCGGGGTGAGTAACTTGTCTTTTTTATATAATTGAAATGGCATATAGGCTCATTCACCTCATGGTAAGTAGTAATTGTGAATTACAAACATAAATAGCACCACGGACATCATAAAATATATTGCGAAACCGTGATAATCCTACGCATTGCCATTCATGAACTCATGCTGTTTACATAATACAAATAAAAAAAAAATCACTGCTATTTTAGCCATATCGCCTTTAAAACAAATATTACCTCTAATTGATAAAATAAATCAATATTGCCATCTAGTTCTAAAATTAAAAAATCTGATACTATAAATATACAATAAATTAAATATGTAATAATGTCTATAATTTGTGTATGTATGTATATATCAGTTGTTCAGCATCTACCAAAAATACAAGTATGTATTAGGTACTTTATAACTAAATGGTGATATGAAATTAAAACATTAAAGTCATTTAAAACTGAATGCACTTTTACGTATTCAAAATTTTAGTCCACTTACCGGTTCATTGTTGACAAAGAAGGACAAGTTGGCAGCCGGTAACGAGTCCCGGCTGATGCACTCCGCTTTGAGCTTCATTCCTGCCTTATACCTCAATTTTATTCCGTGTAGTTCTGGCCCGGACTTTGGTAGATCTGTCAAAATTAAATATCTCGTATCATATACATATTATATACATACACTCGACGCCTCGGTGGTCTAGTGGTTTAGCACACCGCCTTACTTTCGGTGGTCGCGGGTTCGATTCCTCGCACGGCAAATGTAAATGTACATGTATTTGTATCAGTTATCTAGTACCCATAACACAAGCTTTAGCTAACTTAATTTGGGCCTAGATGGCGCTGTGTGAATTGTCCTGAGATTATTATTATACTCATATAATGCGAAAACGATATAGACACCAAGCGATAAAAATGTAGATATAGGTCAAAATGATATAGAATCATTTTCCCTAAAAAGCAAAATGTACCTAAATTCTTGTTAGTGGTGTATAAAAAGTTATGCGTAGTTATACATCTGGACGGAGTTCATTTTGATCTATCGTCGATGGCAGGCATCAGACCACAACATGTTACTTATCTCTACCACAGAGTCACCTGTATACTGGTATATATAGAGAGAAAACCTTTCCACTAGTACCGATTCTCTAAAGTTATATTAATTGCATAAATCGTTGAGGTCACCTTGTCCTTGGAATGTTTATTTTAACAATATTTTTCGTATTATTCATATATATAAAACTATAATATATAACACATAATGGTAGATTTTCTATCTCGCAGGAAAAATAAAAATCTATCTTTTTCACTATTTATCTTAGCCACAGTGCAAATCCAAAGTAAGATAAATATTTGCTCTCTGTCTTAAGAACCCTGTTAATACTACATAGTGAATACGTATCTAAGTTTTTTTTATTACGCTTCAAATAATTAACCGTCTTGATAAATTAACTTCGTAATTACTTTTTGTTTACATCAATAGATAATTAAATATTTACTCGTAACTCTACTATGTAAACAAGTAATAGATACAGCATGAAGACTCCCGAATTCCTTGAGCGAAGGTTTCAAATACGCCGATATCTGATATCGTCGTTCAAGGTATCGCGAATCTCACAAGCTTAGATATTAATTAGTGAATTAGCACACAGGTCGCAGGTTCGATTCTTCGCACGGCACAAACATTTATTTTCATAAGTACGATTGTTTGTATCGGTCTGAGTGTTTACCATGTATAATATGTATGTATTTGTAAAAAAAAAACAGCTACGTATTTGTATCAGTTATCTAATACCCATAACACAAGCTTTAGCTTTACTTGGATCTAGATGACGCTGTGTGAATTGTTCTGAAATTATTATTATTATTTAACTACCTTCGTCTAGATAATTAATCATTCACTCATATTATTGAAAACGGGCGTTTGTTTTAATTTGTATTTATGAAATTTGATCTTTTTTTAGGTACATTATATTTCACCTTTGGCTTTAGGAACATTCTCTAAAAACCATTCGGCACAACCACCTCCGTAGAGTCGTAGGCGGTTTAATATTCTCAATTCCAATAAAATTGCAAACTCCAGTTACATATAATGTAATACTAAATATAATTGGTTATCAAAACGAATATTATTTTACGAGCTTTATTGATAATAGTTGAACAAAAATTTAAATAGCAATACTAACATAACGTAATTGACTTGTGAATGAGTAAGAGTTGTATATAAAGTAATAGCACAAAATTCTCTATAAATAATTAATAATCCCAGTCGCCCAGTGTAATCCTGATGTCATATCTATCATTTCATTATAAGATATTATCTCTGTACCTTTAAATTTATTTAAAAAATAAATATGTAAGTAGTATTACATTATAAAAACGACGATATCTCTGTTGGCAGACTTTACGTTAAAGTCCCACAGGATCCCAAGATTGAATCCCAGTTCAAACACTAAAGCGACTCGCGTTTTTGTACTTCATTTTTATCACAAACTTGAAAAAGAAAGAATGTTCAATTGTACTGCATTTATTTGTATTATATGTACATATGTCGATTATTAATGTATTTTAAATAAAATAAATTCTATACAAATAATAACTTTTTACTGTTGTATAATAAAATATAATTAGCAATAGCATAACAGGACACAAATATTATTCCAAACTTCCAGGCATAAAATAAAACTGTAAACCAAGCTCCGTCTGATATTAAATATGTCAAAAAACATATGTATATGTAGTACTCATATTAATAAGAGAAAAACACAGTATTTAGAATTATTCGGTTTGCACATTGATTTTAGAAACAGTTTTCCGTATTCCGATTTTAGAAACAGATTCCGTAGGCAGCAAATCATATCAAATCAAAAATCATTTATTCGTAGGACATTTTAGCCGGTTATGAACGTCAAATTTTTATATTATGTTTAATCCCTACCAAATAGCAAAATAAATAAACACTTACCTACGACGTACATGAAGGCGTGAACTTGTGCTGTTTGGAAAGAAGGTGCCTCAGCTGACACCTCGCATGTATACCGGCCTTCGGCTGTTGTCGGCATCGCGGCTATTATTGTCAATCGTTCTGCTCCAGTTGCATCTTCCTGTGGACAACATTATGCAAATATATTACCCCTGCCTTGTTTTTGAAATTACTGTGTCCGTTGAACAAAAACCGGAATTATTTACCTCAGATTAAGAAATTAACAGATGCATTAAAACAATAACATATACTACCGAATGTTAATAATTATCAAGAAAAAATGTATTGTATATGACGCTATTTTTTTAATAACTGCTTATTTGATACGCTATTGATATGGTTGTGGTCATTATGTAGTGGAGTGAAGTCCAGATGTCTTTCGTTTTACGACATTTCGCCATTTCTTCTTACTGGCTGCCGTTCTCTTTCATTTGTAGAGAGTTAATAAACTACTTATTTAAAAAAAAAACAACTAATCAATCTCTTTAACATGAAATGTATATACTATAGTACAGAAGTGAGTTTGGTTATTCGCTAATAATTAAAATAATTAATGAACATCTCTATATTAAATATATTATGAGTTCAACATAATATTGCATTAATTTTATTCATTGTTAATTGTAAAGGGTATTAAATGATAAATAAATTAAATTGTTATATAATTTACAATACTTATACGATACTTTATTTCTAGTAATTATTGTGTACCGTTTATGTATTGAAACGTTTGATTATTCCAATACTTGTAATAATATGATTAGTGTATAAAAATTATGTAATTTTTATTATGCCTACGCACATTTAAGTCAAACAGTTGCCCACACAATTTATATTTGGCCAATTGATATTGTTACAACTGTTTAAGTAAATAAATATAATTTTATTTCATTATATAAATGGAATAGCAACCAAATGTTAAGGCCCACTTTTTTGCAACCGTCGCCTATACATAACGACCGCTATGGAGATCATGTTATCATGCGACGCCCGTGATACCACTCATGCGTTGCCCTTCCGAAGGACTAAGATGTTATGCCTTCTTACCCTGTAATTTCACTACTATATCTCACCATCTAAATACAACTTACAAATAATGCTCACAATTTAGTATAACTGTCTTTGTCTATTAATGTAATAAGTGCAATAAAGTATATATATAATCTGGTTTACTGCTGGCTAAAATGAGTGAGACGTAGTCACGCAGAGATTGCGTAAAGTGTGCTTTCGATTATTAATGCGTGTAGTTATAGATTTTAAGATAGATGTGAGTAAAATCGGTAGACAATGAAAAATCTATCTTCAAAATGAGCACATAATTTGAGAAAAAATCTCGTAACAACATGTGCATACAAATAGACATACTTGAAAATCTCTTCCTTTTGAAAACTTTAACACGGTAGTAAGGGTTTGAAATTAAGAAAGTATCTAACTAGATTCAAAATTTACAGAAATGACATTGTTAAATATATATAAAATAATTTTATTATACACTAGGTGTATTATTGTGATGTATAAGCTATATTACTGTAGAGTATTATTACAGCAAAATGTATATTTATTTCTTTTCGGGTTTACAAATAATTGGATAAAGGATATATTTACAAGTTCTCGTGTACAAAAGATCGAATATTACTTTGTCTCAAATCTTTCGGAGCTACAAAAGACATAAATATTAACAAAGTACCTTAGACTTGCCTAAAGGACTTAGATCTGTATATAAAGTACTTGCTTTATTTCTTTTAATAATATTACTCGTTGGAAATTATATAGCATTGACCATTGTCCATCGACCTAAACCTAAACTAACTAACCTGATATAAACTACTGATGTACTGACAAATTGAAAATAACTAGGGCAAGTCCAAAAATGTATGTAATGTTAATAGAAATGTGTAGGGGAATACGACTGTAGTAATGTGGATTAAACCTATTGTTAGTAATTTTCTATCTCAGGTTGACCTCCATATTTGTCCTGGAAACCATTATGTAAATTCCTGGTGAATTTGCTACGATGAACTAACTAACATACTCATCATCCTCCACGCCCGGCAGGTGCCCCGCCAGCGTATACTATTAACGCAAGCGGGTGCATCATTCTATATTATATAAAAGAAATAGAAGTATGTCAGTACTCAATTTCTGAAGTACTGACTACTGAATGCAAAGTTATAATACAAATAAGACTTCCTACTTATAATTATTTACAATTCTATTCGCCGACAAGTAAAACTTATTTTAACTACAATAATTCTGTATCATTTCTTATACAAGGCAGAACGTTCGTAATGATTCCAGAAAACATCTAAATAATTATCTTTTTTTTTTCTAATTGGTGTGGTAAACAAGATGACAACCCATCTTATGGAATGTCGTAACCATTCCCTAGGATGACGGTGCAAAAAACAACGTGACGCCAGTCATGTCACTCATGCAAATTAGGTTAGAAAAATGTATACCACCTACGAATTATGAATAGTCTTCCTCTGGTAAAGTGTATGATTTAGAGTATTTTGTTCTAAATTTGTTTTATATCCTTGATGACGTACTTGTGGACCTAATTTATGAAGTCATATTCAACCAAATTACTTGTTTCATTTTCACTTTGCTTGGATGATAAATGCCTTGGCAGCTAATGATGACAAATAACATGTACCTGAAATTTATCTTCACTTCTATCTCGCTCTAACCAGCTTTTCAATATACCTTTTGTCTTTTTCATTGCCATTTTCTCTCTCTCTATATGTAATGTATGTAATCTAATTAACACATAATTGACATTAGCTATAGAAGTAAATTTCAATAGCTTACGGCTATCTCATACAATACGGACTTTTCTATTAGTAATTTCGTTAATCAAATAGATATTCTACTTTATCTAGGGGTGGCGAAAGGGATGAATATAAGTATATTTGTCCTATTCAATATATATTATGACAGTTTTACATTCTTTTGTCGAACAAATGCGAATTATTTGTTTTTATTTAAATTGTTTAATAAATCTATTTATATCCGTACGTACTGATATAATAAAATGTAAATTGTGTCAGTCTATCTGTTTCTCACCTTTTCACGGCTACACAGTAACGTGTCTTAATGAAATTGGATTTGGAGATTGATTGTATCACGGAGACGAATAATGGTTAAGGTTACACCAAAAAAAAAACATAAAATCGCAGGCGAAAATCTGTTTAAAATATATTTATTTTAAATTATATATGAATATGTATGTATTTCCAACACAATATATAATATTATGCAGACATAAAACCAACTCACGCGATGTCTTTTGTCTTGTTTTATCTCTCTATCCAAAAATTATTTGAAAGAGATAGTTTGAACGTTAAGACCGCCTTCTGCATGTAAATAAATAAAATGTAATAAATAAAAATAAAATTATAAAATATTAATAAATAAATAATATGTATTCAAGTTAAATATAAATTACTTTTGTATCAAATAGTAAGTTAGATTACAAAGATTAATTTCTTTGTAGTAAGGGTTTTGTGTAATAAATTAATAGTTTCTATAGCTTGACCAATATATATGTGCATATAATTGAAACTATATTATTTCTAGGTAAGGCTACATCTTAGTGTATTATTTTCATTGTCGTTGTTTATTTTACGGATTTATGTACTAAATATTTTATATTGAATGTGGCGACCAGTGTACCATTGTGGTCAGCGAACTCGGTGGTCTAGCGGTCTAGCACACTGCTTTACAACCGATGGTCGAGGGTTCGATTCCTCGCACGGCACAAACATTTGTAGTCATGAGTATAATTGTTTGTATCGGTCTGGGTGTTTTCTATGTATAATAACAGTTTTTTTTGGTAAATACATACGTATTTATAAAAAAAAAATTACGTATATGTATCAATTATCTAGTACCCATAACACAAGCCTTAGCTATCTTAACTTGGGTCTAGATGGCGCTGTGTGAATTGTCCTGAGATTATTATTATTATTATTATCATAATATTATACGTATATCTAGCTGAGCCCACGATTTTAGAACCCTATAACATTTTTTGTTTGTGAATAAAACATACACTAAATTTAAGTGAGCCTTACTACAACTTTAAGCTCTAGCTTATAGCTCGTACTCTAGTACGAGCTATACTAGTACTACTATATACTAGTTAAAACCGTACCGTACCTAAAATGGTGTACCTAAATGTGCGTTTAAATATACAAAGCGACAAAAATTCTAAAATATCATTATTTTGAGTTCTATTACGTTGATAAAAATCCCCAATAAGAGTTATTCTCATATATCTTCTACGTACACACGATCACAGATCACAGACTTTATATTTATATTATACTTAGATTAACATTTCGTACTCTCACCGCCATTTCACTAAATATCGGCCTACTTCACCTCCACTCTATCGTAACATTTTGTAGAATAGCAAAATTGAATAACAATTGCACTTAAAATGTTACTCTATTTTGTAACGTTCACTGATGGGAAATAAAAGCACGTAGAGTACGAGTATACGTATTGCCAATATTATGTACTAGCACTTAAGGTACTTGATTCAATTTGCATGCATCTGTTCGAACATGTCATTGGGAACTTCCCCATGAAATATGAGTAAGTACCTATATTGGCGACAGATGATATTATTCCATTTGTCATTATAAAAAAAACTAGTCAAACAACATATTTTTTTAATTTATATAGATTATATATATTTTTTATATCACAATCGTAACTGTACCACGACGATCTAATATATCATCTCATATATGAGAAATAACATTTTCTAATAGTTAATAGTTTTCTAATAGTCATATTTCTATTATACTTAATAATCTAGTAATATCGATCACTAAGTTTCCTTTTACGTTTTAGGAATGACAAGCAAGCTGACGGATTTGATGGTAAATGGTAACCGTCGTCTATGTACATGAACAGCTCTATGTATATCATGTCATCATATAACGCGAGTGATACGCATGTGTTGCTTTCCTAGAAAACTAAGATATTTAGGGTTGTCCTGCCTTAACCAAAATCCCTTCAACTAAAACACAGCTTACAAAGCTGCTTAACCGTTGAAATAGGTTAAATAAGTACCCAAACAAACGACTTCTTACATAGTCCATAGACTCT